TATTTGCATTTGAGAATTAATGTTGTTATTTAAGATAAATAACTTCTAGGTACATCTCTAAGAGAAGACCTAAAGAGCTGAATTTGCTTTTTGTTCACAATTTTAATTCACCTTTTTTCAGTTTTTGACAATATGTTTGTTACCCAAAGGAATGGAAATTAAACAAATCATGGAAAGCTTTTTCTCTGAAGCAGCAAGGGCCCTAATGACTCAGATAGTTTGAATATTTAGTAGTCTCAAAGGCAAACCATAGTCACAAGTCACAATATAATTCAACATAAAAATATGTGTAGGCTTTTAATATAGTTCAGTTCCATTTAACAATCATTTACTGATAGGCTTTATAAAGGCAGCCTGAGGAAAGAAATGAGATGACCAAGACTTTTTTCCTGCTTCTATGGAGGTGACCCTTTTGGAAAGTTTTGGCAGTGTAAGAAATGCTGGGCTTGAGGGTGAAACTTCGATACTGATAGACAAGAAGCTTGCCTTGCTGAATGGAGAAAGTTAGAAGCTGCCTTCCTGGGCCCTAGAAATCTCCTGGCAGAAGTGCAACCCCTTAAGAAGAAAAGAAGGCTATGGATGTCGGATCATGTCCTTCCTTCTCTCTTTCTACATTCCCCAGTTCTCTGACCATTGTCTATCTAGCACAGACCCCAAGACATGTTCACTGTGACTATCCCGTCTCCATCACTGGCTTGGGCCTCTTTTGAGAACATCCTCGACTTCCTGGAGCCTCAGGGAGTGTCTGATACCTGCAGCTTTTCTATACACCTTGACCCAGTACAAAAGGAATGAGTCAGTTCATCAGAGACAACCCCTTCTCACCATATGAGACTATTGATCCAACATCTGCAAGATGAGAAGTCATGGTGGCGCATAAAAGGGAGATGTTACCACCCTCCCTAAAGGTCCTGCTTGTTAAAATAGAGCCAAACATTTCTAAACCTATGGAGCAGATCCCTCTACTCCCAGTGCAGGGAACAAAGCTGTTGACTTTCAGTTTCTGTTAGTGGAGTGACCACATCAGCTCTTAGAATACATTAGAAAGACGTTTGACATTTAGAAATACATTAATCATGAGGGTGATGAGATTCAGCCATTTGGGAAATCACTGTCTGGTTTTCCCACAGGGATGTACAAATGAGATCTTCATTCAATCCAGTCTTTCTAGTTTTTCATTTGAAATGTTTCAAAGGAAAGGACAGATATAAAGAACAAGTTCAAGAATATGAATTAATCAAAGTCAGTCCATTACCATGGGATTGTATAGTGCCTTCCATGAGCTTTGCCTACTTGAAAGTCCATGTGTGGGTGTCATTGTGTTTTTCAGAAATTCCCTTCTCGTATAGCAATTTATCCAGGCTGAACACAAGGGCAGCCTCCTCCTTCAAGTGCTCCTTGATTATCCCAGCTCAGACACACTTCTTTTTGTCTGAACACCCACAGCACTTCAAGAAAGTTAAAAGAGTGATGTAAATTCAGAATATGACTTTACTAGTAGGACTTGTGATATCCTGGTCTTTTGATTCTCCACAATTAAGCAGCACATTCCTGTTATTAATTGAAGGTATGAGAGATGCTGAGCTCTAAATCCCCTCCCTCCTTTTCTTCATACTACAAGAGAGCTAACATTTATTGATCTTTTAAAATGTATGTAACAATGTCCTAAGCATTTTTCATATATAATCTTACTTAATCCTGATGACACTCTTTGGAAGCAAATACTTAGCCAAGGACAGTCAGCAAGTGGCAAGTCCAGGACTTGAACTCAGCACTTTCTAACTTAAGAGGCCTTGCTCTCAAACACCAAAATATGGTCAAGAGATATGAACCTCTTCTGTTGTATCAGGCCTCTGGTGTTGTAAAAAAAAGACAAATAAGAAGGCTACTGGTAGCAGAAGCTTTTTTTGGGATTCAAGTAATATGATAAATATCTTATTTCTGTTTCATCATAGAATGTCTATGACTGTATCCAGTCTCATTTGGAGATAATGTCCTAGTTCAAATTTGAGATCTTTTGCACACGTGAGGTTCACCTTTGACATCCAGAGCCCTTTGCAACCTGGGGGCCAGGCCTACCTGATAATTTGCTCTCCCCACTTTTGCCACCTGGGGTCTCACTAGCAGTGATTGAGTAGCTCTTATTATTATGTCTTTGTGTTTTGAAAAATAAAAGCGTTGAGACTTCTAATGCATAAGTCCAGCTACAAATCACGAGGCTCCTGTATTTTAAGTGAATCTAGAAGTTTGTGTGGATGCTGCTACTCTTTTGAGTCGGACCTTTCATTTCATGCTGGGCAGCGGCAAGCAGACAGCCAAGAAGTAGGATGAGTTTGGCACAATAGCTCACCTGCCACGGGCCAAGGTTGAGGTAGGTTTTGATTTTGTTCGAGGTGGCCTTGAATACACTTGATTCTTTTCTCAAAGTGTCTGAATGCCACAGAGAACAGTAAATAGGCAGGGCAGTGAGCCCGTGTGGGGGACAAGCGGTCGTCCTGTGGCGTGCACCTTTGATTACCACCGGTATAAGGAGCTTTCTGAGACACCGGCTGGCAAGAAGTAAATGGGTTGTCATGTCAACACTGTGGTTTCTTTACATTGTTTACTGCAGCCTTTCACTGGGTTTTAGTGCTTTATTCTAGGAGCAAATCATGAAGGCTGTGTGGTGGGCCGGCCATGCGCTCCAAGGCCCAGCGTGGGCTCCTTGCCTTCCCAGGTTCTCTCAGCCAGGAGATGACAGCCGGGCCACTCTTGGCTTTCTCTGTGGACAGACAGGGGAGGGGCACACAGGCTGTGCTTACAGAATGGCGAGGAAGCTCTTCTTGCCAGTGGACTGGGGAGTGGGGGAATGAGGTCTGTCTGTTTGGAAAGGTAGGTAAGGACCGAATTACAGAGTAGAGATAGGAAATGAGAGGCTTTGGGCTTGTTTGGACTTAAGCTTGTTTTGTTCAGCCTTACAGTATTTGGCTTGCACCTATTTCAAAATTAGCTGTCAATTTTTTAAAAGTCAGGAAATTTCACATTAAACAATTAGGGGCAGTTAGCTTTGTGTAGAAACTTATAGCCTTTCCTGTATGTCAGTGATGAGCTGATGCTGAGAAGCAGACCCTTCTTCAGAAGGCATGTGTTGGCCGTTTGACTGGATCCACACTGTACCTCAGTGATCTGCTACTGAGGCCGCATGCCAGCACCACGTATCATATCACCCCAGATCGCTCTACCTGGGCCCAGTAGGCACTTGATTTTATTAGACCAGTTGTAAAGGCCTTTTATTCCATTGAAAGATGTTAAGGCTTTGTCCCAGGACATTCAGAACTGTTGGGGGTTTTGAAGCCCAGAGAGTTTAGCTGTAGGTTTGGGTTTTAGAGGTGGCTCTGTTGCCCTGCCTCAAGTCCATCAGTTTCCAATCCATCATGCATATGAATGCTAGTTGTGAAATGGATGCATTGTTTACCAAGATGTGTTTCTTTGTTAAATTAGCATCATGTTCATAAATAAATGTGTCTGATAACTAACTATGAATAGTATGAGTAAGCCCCTTCCTAGACAGCAAGTCCTTTTGAATAGAAAATCTCTATCTCATTCGCTGTATCTTTAATTGTATGTGTACCTAACTGTATGCATATCCAATTGTATGGTGCACAAGAAATACTTAAGTCAATCAGTCAATTAATTAAAGATAAACAGCTAGGGACAATTTAACATACCCCGGTTTTAAGCTCAACAACATACATTTTTGCTTAGTTAAATCTTTTGCCTTTATTTATCCTTGCTGCCTACCACCCCCCACCCCCATTGTAGCCTCCTGACACCTGTACACACCTGTGCACACATCCAAGGAACAATTGCATTAGATACATATAATAATGCGTGTCGGTTTAGATGATAGCAAAGACCTCTCTGCTTTTAATCCTAAAGTGATCTCTACTTTTCATTTTGACCATTTATTATTTTTAAACACCATAGAATGACTCATCATCATTTTTAAAGCAAATGTATGCACTTGTTTCTTTATGGAGACTCACCTATAGGTTTTCTGTAAGGAACAAATAACTGAATGGATTGTCCTTCTTGTAGTCTTGATGAAAATGCCTTTTACACTCATAATTAGGGGCAGTTAGCTTTATTCAGAAACTTAGAGCTTGTTTAGAAACTAAATGCCATTCAGCTATAGCCACTGCTGTAATTTTGGGGGCTGCTTGAGGGGCTGTCCAACTGCTGAGATATTGAGATTTTACAGGTAATTGTGCAAGTTTTATAAATTTGATATAGGTAAAAGTGATTACATACTTACTGTAAAAATAATAAAGATGTATATGAAAAGCAAAGGTCCTGCTTCAACTCTATCTCTTAAGTACATTCTTTCCGCAAAAGTAATCACAGCTAATTTCTATATGTATCCTTTAAAACTTTCTTCTATGCAGTATGGCACAATCCTATATATTTATAAAGACAAGGTCTTTTGGGGGGCATAAAGCAGAACTGTGGGTCTTGGAGAAATCAGCATGTTGACGCACATGTATCTACCTAGTTCTTGTCGATGCAGCATCGCGCTCTGTGATATGTACACCTTATTTAAATGTTCCTCAATTCATGGCCACTTGGCTGTTTCCAGTTTTTCACTGCTACAAAGAATGCCACAGTGAACAACTTTGCCCTTGCCTCGTTGTGAAAATAAATGAGTCTGTCTCAAGAAGACACCCCTTGAATTAGAATTGCTCGTTTAAAATGCTGATAGATATTTCAAATTTGTTATTCTCAAAAGCTTTACCAATTTACTCTTTTGACAGCAGGATATAAGATGAACTGTTGCCCACTGTCTTGCCTGAACTAGATAGTACCATTTTAAAAAATTATTACAAATTTTGGGGACAAGAATGAAATTTCATTGTTTTAAACTGCATCATTGATTCCCCATGAGGTGGAGCTTGGTGAGCTCTTGAGAGCTTTGCTCACCGTTTTCCCTGGTGTCTAAACGTCGCTCTGTCCTCCCATTTCAGATGCTCACTACCTCACCTGCAGGATCCAAGAATGTGCTGAGACGACTCGGAGTGGGCCTTTTGCCCGTTCTATTGACATCAGTTCCCTGGTTGTCCAGGATGAATACATCTTCATTCAGGTGAGTCCAGAAGTGCTGGCAATGGTAGAGGAGGATGCTTAGGCGAAGTCAGCTAGTCACTAGGAAGATGAGGATGGCAGTCCTGAAGCTGTGGAGACGTCGAGCTGTGGTGTGCTATCCCTCTGTTTTGGGCACAGTCCCCTGGGTAGATCCCAGATTTCTGGTGAGAGATGAAGGTGTTGTGTGCATCAGTATCATCTATCGGGGCCTTTAGTGGCCCGCTGAATCCCTCTATTGGGTTGCTGGTTTATTATACCAAAGGGGTCTTGAAATGACTAGGACTTAGCTAAGGTTTGAGGTTACTTAGAGCCAGATATGTAATGGGATCTGATTTTAAGTAATTTGTCTGTGCCATATTCCATCTCTGTCCAAAGTGACTTTTCTAACTTGGAAATGAGAATCTCCAAGCATCTCTAGGATCTCCTTTCTGGAAAAATCTAGAACTCATTAAATCTTCCCCTCTCCTTGTAGTGCTGATTCTCCGCTCCAGTGTTCAAGTTGAACATGCTGGCTCTAAGAACTCTAACTGTTAGAAAAAAATAGGTGGGACTCACAGTTTTAGGCAGACAAGGGAGGCCTTGTTTTAGGTTTTGAGTTTCACTGGGAGGAGATGCCAAAAAGAGCAAAAGTGAAGAAAAAAACAAAAGGTGATGCTCTACTGAGTGACTCTGTGTGTGTGTGTGAAGTTGAACATGGCACTTGATGACAGCCCCAAGCCCCCCACTCTGCCTTCCCAGCCTTTTGCTGCCAGTTCTCCTGCAGACCATTTCCTATAGGAACCTTGATCTTTGGAATCTCCCTGCATCTGCTCAGACCGAAGCACCCTAATAACTTTTTCTGCTTCAGTCCCGTCTGCTAGTACAGCTCAGGCCCACTCCTCTGTGAGCCCTCCTGGGAACTTCCAAGCTGGGTATGGTCTCTTGCTCTGAACCTGTGCTGTGGATTTTGTACCATCCCTCTGGCACATAGGCTACTAGGAATCATTACTGAAATCTTAGCGCATTTGTCTCCTTTCCAAGTGGCATTTTACAACCTCTGGATAAAGACAGAATTCTATACACACATTTTACCCCATCCATGGCCCTAACAAGACAAGAGCATTCAATGATTGCTTGTTGAATTGATGGATTACGGATCTAGCAGTTACTTCTTTTGACAAATTATTTGCGTGGATTTTTGAGGTCTAGTAAAATAAAGGAAAAGTAGCCAGCCACTTAAAAAACAGCTTGAAGGAAGGAGCAAAAGGGGTCTTTGTGGTTAAAAAAAAAACTGTTTCTCAGCTTGATTAAAGTCAGAATCTCGAGAATTTTTTCCTAAATCTTAGCAGGTCACTGGTTCTATTATTTCCTCATTCACAGTATTTATTGAGCACATACAATGTGAAAGGGCAGTATTAGGCAGTACTCCTGGTGTTGCCCAGCTTTCTGCCTCAGCCTGCTTCTCTTGGGACCCAGTGCTCACGGCCTAGGGAACCCCATGGTTTGGAATATCATCTCCATGTTCTCATGACTCTCAAGTCAATGAGCTGTGCCCTCTGACCGGTGCGGCAGACCTATTTACATCTACTAGCCATCTCAACGGCAACTCTTGTAAAATAAAACCCACAGGGAAAATAAAATCAACATGTTCCCCTTAAGCCTGACACATTGGTGGCACTGCCCATTGTCTGTGTCACCCAGTGAAATGAGTCCAGGCCTCTGCTATTACCTCCCTTAGTTATTTCTCAGATGTTTCATTTCATTCATTCCCATTGTTATGGTCCCAGTTTGAGGCTTTATTATCTCTTTCTCTTTACTTAATTTTTCCAAGGCAGAAGCACAGGGATGATTTATGAATTTTCCAATCTGATTGTCCTTACTGAATGCTGGTACTGCATATAATGATGAACATGACTGAACTGTTTCTAGGAAACAAGATTAAGAATTTTTAGTCTTCATATTTTTAAAAAATTCATTTTTCCCTATATTGCACAGTTTTCTATAACTTTGTAGGCAAATATCCAGGGTATTTTTTTCTAACCATTCTGAAACATTTCTTTCTTTTTATAGTACTAGAAACCAACAGAAGTTTTTTCTTTGATCTGCATCAGTTTTTATTTTGTTTGAAAGTGATATGCATTCTCATTATTCAACAGAGTTTTGTTGACGGCTTACTACATTTCAGGCCCTCTGTTCTAGGTGATAAGGTTATGACAGTGAACATAATAAAAGTCCCTGCTTTAGGTATTTAGCTATCTACAAAATGTATCAGATGATGACAATGCTATGGATAAAAATAAATGAGGGGCTTATAAATATGGGGTGTCTGTAGGTACTGCTGTTTCCTTTAGGATGACTTGGGAAGGCTTTATTGAGTGGGGTTCCAGGGAGAAGGTGGCAGAAGTCAGCAGTTAGAGGGATGGGACCAGAACCAGGAGCGTTTGGCTCTGAGCCCCCTGGAGCCCCACATGGCTATATGGGGTGGGCAGGTAGAGATAACGTAGAGCATTTACATTCTGCTCTGAATGTCATTCCCGTGTTTATTTTTATTTTTGCTTTATAGGTAAATGTATTCAGTGGTTACCAGTAGTCTTTTTACTATAGTTTCCCCATTTATTTCTTGGTTGTCTGAGGTTTGTCCTTCAGTGATATCTTCAAGAAGGGCAATAAGTTGAAAATTAGTTTTTCCTATTATGCTTTAATGTGACTCTTTTAGGGTATAAAATATACATATCGCTTGTTTTCCATGAGAACTTTGCTCCATTGACTTAGGAGGAAAGGCTAGTTAGGCCAGTTACTGATATTTTCTCCTTTTGGATGTCTTGATTTTTTTTTTTGCCCTTGATGCCTAAGTCCTTTTTAATATATATATATATATATATATATATATATATATATATTTCATACTGTATGTGTTTTATATATAAAGTAAAACTGTTTACTTTATTGAAGTTTGTTTTATAGTTGGTCAAACTGTGTCAGTTCTTTCCCCTGGAATATAAGTCTCATGCAACTGGTTTAATTTCTCCTTCTTTTTTAATTTCTCAAAAGCCTCTGTGATTTATATTTTGAATATATATTTTATTTGTTTTGGCTGTCTTCTTCCAGGACTCTTAGGATGTGTATAATAGACAGGAAAGACAAAGTAGAGAAAATCATTTTTTCCTTCTCATATGTCTTAACCCTCAAAATAAAATGAGACTAAAAAAAAAATCTTACCCACATTGTCCTCAAATGAGTATTCAGCAGTGTTGAGGCTCCTTTTTGTGTCTTTTACTGCAATTAACTTATTTCCTGAGCTTTGCCAGGTTATATTTGATCAGTTTGTTATCTCAACATATCTACCCTTAGCTCTTGTATTTCTGCTTGGAACTCTTCTCTTACAGAGGTGATTTCTTGATCATATGGACTATTTGTAATCATAGTAGTATGCCACAATTTTCCTTTGCTTTATGGAAGCAGTTTTTGTTCTGTGTCCAGTATTTGTTTTCCTGTCCATTTCCCTCTCCTATGTTTCTGTGTTATTTTATAATTCTTTTATCTTTATGTTTTTAATAGTTACTTATTTTTTAATGACATAAGCTCTTTGTGATTGAACTGTTAGAGGAGGCTCATCTTGGTGATGGATCAGAGCTTGGTTTCAGCTTAATAAGAATCATCCTTGGTTCTCTGTGAGATTCCCTATAACTCAAGATTGTTTGTCTATGAGTGGGTTCTTCTTATAAGGTAAAACTACCTGATCCTTCTTTATCCAGCCATGCCTATCCAGCTTCCCTTGTCACCATTCAGTTATAGGAATACTCCCACTGCCAATTCTTAGGGCACATTTCCTTGGTTCCAAATGATAGTCTGTAAGTTTTGCTCCTTGGGAAATGTCATCTTTAGAGGAGTCTATATTTCAAGCTTGATCTGAGATTTATAGCTGTAGGCATTTTTGCCTGGGCCTGTCTATACCCTAGTTGTCCTTTATTTCATTTAACTTCCTGTCCTCGTATATTATGTTTTGGGGTTGTGTTTTCATTAAGTATAGAGTTTGTATTTTTCTTCCCTGTTTTCCCTGCTGCTTCAGGGTGATTTATGAGAGGGAAAGGGGGGAGACACCATTTTTACTTGGCTATTTAAACCCATTTATAAGCCTTTATCAAGTATTTTCTGAAATGTTGCAATAGCTTGCTAACTAATTTCCTTGCTCCCAGATCAGCACCTTTCCCCAGTCTATTCACAACACTACTTAGAAAGTAATTTATTTAAAATAAAAATCAATGTTCCTGCCTTTGGTGGCTTCTCATCACCTATAGGTTAAAATCCAATTTCCTTAACATTGCCTACAAGCTCCTCTACAATCTGTATCCTGTCTACTCAATCAAACTCATGTGAATTCCTTACTCACTGCCACTCCCCATATACCTTCCTTGTTATTATTTTACCTTTCAATAAAAATAAACCTTTTTAGTCTCCATGTACACACCATGTCATTTCTTGCCTAATAAGCCTTTCATGTACACATTTTCTTTTCCTGCTTGGAATGTCTGTTTACCAGGTATCACCCTTTTAGTTCAACTTAAGTAATGCCTCCTGTAGGAAATCTTCCCTGACATCCTCATTCATGATTGGACCAAGATCCTTTGCTGACTTCTGCATGTATATTATGTCTCCCCAGCCAGGTCTGTAAACTTTAAGAGGAACAGGACTATGTCTTATTCATCACTGTTTCTCCTACAGTTAGCATAATGACTAGTACTCAATAAATGTTTGTTGAACTGATCTGAACTGAGAAGATAAGACACCATCCTAATTCTCAGAGAGTGTAGTTAGTTATCTTTTTAAAGCATGGGACTCTTGTTTCTCCTGCTAACAATATAAGGCAAAACTTAGGGTAATTGGAAATTTCTCACTACATAAGAAATGACCATATGTAGAATATATCTGCAGTTTTATAAAACTGCTGTCCAGGAATTAGCTATTATGTGATTCAGTGTCCTTTTTATATTCATTCATTTAAATGTATTAAAATACATTCAG